AAAATATAATAAATGTATATATTTACCTTAAATTAGTATAGTCAAATAAAAAAACTTGATATTAATTTTAGTATCAGTACCATGTGAATGAATTTGTTTAAAAATATAATAAATGTATATATTTACCTTAAATTAGTATAGTCAAATAAAAAAACTTGATATTAATTTTAGTATCGGTACCATGTGAATGAATTTAATTGAACAATTAATTAAGTGAATGTTAATTTTTATTTTTTAATATAAATTTATAATAAAAAATATACATTTATTATATTTTTAACATGTAAACTTATAATACAAGTTATAAAAATATAATGAGCACATTCTTGACTGCTCGATCGGGTTAAAAAACCTTTAAACAAAACAGAATAGTTTAACTTTTGGAGCCATTGATGTATGCACCCAGCAGTTTTTAGTTCCTAAAACAAAATAGGATCTGTCTAGTAAGGAAGCATATTTATTAGTTCCCTAAAATTCTCTTGTCTGCGGTGCCCTTGGGAAAATGTCGAAGAAAATAGGGGAATGATTTTTGTACAATCTTTTTATCTCATTTTTTTTATACAATCTGACGTATCATTAAAAAAATTAATTTTTTTAATTTATGTGAGATCCATGATATTAAATGTATCAACTTATTTAATAACATGTGAAAGTTATATAAAAAAGTTATATAAAAAAATGAAATAAAAAAGTTATCTCTATACCACCATATAAGAAAATAAACCATCCAATTTGATTGGTGGACCTGGAATGATAATCAAGTCCACACATGATTTTTTTTTTTCTGTTCCTTTTTTGTCCCCTAATTGAATGCTTAAATTGCGGATATTTTTGTTCGCCTTTTTTTTAAAAAAAAAAAAACACTTAAACTAAAATGCATTGATAGAAATTCATAAGAAAAATCTCTCTTTCTTTCCTTTTCCCTTTTTTGTTTTTTCATGAGAGAACGAATTCATAATAAGAACATCAATCTAATTAATAAGACAAAAAGCAAAGATATGATTATTTTTGTAAATTTTTTTTCTTTCATTTTTTTATATAATCTGATATATTATTAAAAAAATTGATTCTTTTAATTTATGTAAAACTTATTATATTAAATACATCTACTCATTTAATGACACGTGAAAATTATATAAAAAAATAAAACAAAAAGATGAAATAAAAAAATTATATCTATAGTACCACAAAAGAAAATGAACCATCCAATTTGATTGGCGGACCTGGAATGATAATCAGAGTCCACACATGATTTTTTTTTCCGTCCCCTTTTTTCCCCTAATTGAAGGCTTAAATTGCAGATTTTTTTTGTTTGCCTTTTTTTCTTTCAGAAAAAAAAAAAAAAAACACTTAAACTAAAATGCATCGATAGAAATTCATAAGAAAAATCTCTTCATAAGAAAAATCTCTCTTTCTTTCCTTTTCCCTTTTTTGTTTTTTTTTCAGGAGAGAACGAAATCATAACAAGAACATCAATCTAATTAATAAGAAAAGACAAAAAGCAAAGATATGATTATTTTTGTAAAATTTTTTTGTGTCATTTTTTTATACAACTTGACGTATCATTAAAAAAATTAATTTTTTTAATTCATATGAGACCCATAATATTAAATGTATTTATCTATTTAATTATACGTAAAAATTATATAAAAAAAATAAAACAAAAAAATAAAATAAAAAAATTATCTTTGTCCTATTACCCAAGAAAGTGAAGCATTCAATTTGATTGGTGGACCTGGAATGATAATCAGAGTCCACACATGATTTTTTTTTTTCTGTTCCTTTCTTTTCCCTTAATTGAATGCTTAAATTGCAGATTTTTTTTGTTTGCCTTTTTTTTT